GTGAGTGGGCAGGTGGTACATGGCTTAGGACAGAGGAGAAAATGCCAATACATCACTGCCTGCTCAGATTACACTGCATCTCTACTCACCCTGGCTCCCATTTCACTCAAAGTAAAACCATTATTCATTATAATGGCCTATAAGACCTGAGTCAGGTCACCTCTACCCTTTTCCTGAGAATGTGAGCTCCTAGAGGGCAGGGAATGTGTCTCCTTAGTTCATTTTATCCCCAGCATCTACAAGTGCCTAGGGTTTCTTAGATATTCCATAAAGTGAATGTATGAATGAACATATGAGTGAACTATGAGAGTGATGCCCGTAAGCAGAGAGCAGAGATTCTAGGGTGGAACTCTGGAAATTAGAGGTTCCTCTGAAAGCTGGGATGCCAGATGGGGTTGTACATAGGACTGGTTCAAAGTCTTTATAAGGAGCCCCAATTCCTTTCCTCCAGCAAGATCACTGCCCCTCCCTAATCTGGCAGAAAGTAAGAGATTTACTTCTGGAGGGGTTGAACTAGAGTTCTGTACTTGCAAATGACAGATACACCTAAGTGCTAGGGCAAGGCATGGTACCAAAAAAAATGCAGATAACCAATCAAGATCACTAGTTAAGGAAAATTTCTAACATGTAGTATGAAAAGTCCAAAATAAAGAAAAAAGGAACTCTGAGGAAACAGTGACAATATGGGGAGTGTAAAGTGTTACACAAGGTGATGTAGAAAAAGAATCTCTTATTCCCCAGTGAGCTCATCAAGAACAGATTTAACACAATCTATTCTCCTGTCAATTCATACTTCTGCCCTTTCTATGTAACGCTTTTATGACTATAGACTGTAACAGTTTAACTACAAGAAACACTTTCTTACCCCAGAAAACTCAATGTGGATATCATTGCTTCAAGGCTATAAACCTTCAGATTTGACCCAGGGTCACTTCCCCCCACTTTACCAATCAGGATGTCACATATCATCCCCAAACAAGTTGCAGTAGTGAAATCTATTATTTTACAGGAGAGCCAAACCAAAATTAGATCAAGAATATAATAAAAGTTAAAAAGAAAATTTTTTTGAGTAAAAACAAAAGACGACAACCACTTAGTCCATTTTTCAAGCATGTACAGAGAGTACACAGTATTACTGTTTGGAGTGACCTTTCTGTCCTGTTCTTCCAACCGAGACATTATCATTTTTTTATAATTTCTCATAATGGCATGATGTTCCACTGGGGAACATGATAAATATTCTCCATTTTTAAAACCAAAATATCAAATATTCATATGTAGAGTTTCCAACACAAAATATTCTTCTAGCAGTTATATATTTAAGAGTCCCTAAGAAAGATTTTTTAAAAATACAAATTACAGAAAAAAGCTAAAAATGTACCTCTACTGTTAAACATTTAAAAAATAAAGGCCATAAGAAATAAGACTGATGTCTTCTCACAGCCTATTTTGTTCTTATCTACAAAGGGGAATCTCTTTTTTTTTCTTTTTTAAAAATTTGTTTCCCAGTATCAATCAAATCATATACTAAGAGGTTTTAGGTTTCTATTATACATTCTTTCCATTGGAATATTACAAGAGGTGTAATTTCCACTTGACAGAATAAACACAATCAAGTTCTGTGTCTAAGTCATAGAGTCCCATGAATTCCTAACATTTTAACTGCAATTCAATTATTTATTCTGTAACGATGAGGTAATACACCAGGTACTAAGCAGCAATGCAGACCAACAAGATCCTTGTTCCTAAAAATCTAAAATTATCTGCAGTAAAGGACCAGTTGCTGCTTGTTTTTTTAAAAAAATTTCTATTCATTGGCTGGACACAGTGGCTCACGCCTGTAATCCCAGCACTTTGGGAGGCCGAGAAAGGTGGATCACGAGGTCAGGAGATCGAGACCATCCTGGCTAACACAGTGAAACCCCGTCTCTACTAAAAATACAAAAAAATTAGCCAGGCGTGGTTGTGGGCACCTGTAGTCCCAGCTACTCGGGTGGCTGAGGCAGGAGAATAGCGTGAACCTGGAGGGTGGAGCTTGCAGTGAACCAAGATCGTGTCACTGTACTCCAGCCTGGGCAACAGAGTGAGACTCCGTCTCAAACAAACAACAAAAAAAAATTGTATTCATTGTGGACCAACAATTTTTAAGATACAATTAAGTTTCTAGTCCAGGTGCAGTAACTCGTGCCTGTAATCCCAGCACTTTAGGAGGCTGAGGCAGGAGGATTGCTTGAGCCCAGGAGTTCAAGGTTGCAGTGAACTATGATCAGGCCACCTAGGGGACAGTTAGAATCTGTCTCTAAAAATAACAATAATTTTTATAAAGTTTCCAGAAAAAAAAAAAAAAGGCACACAAAATACAATCCCAAATCTTTCATTACTGGAATCAACAGACATAAAATTACTCTGCTAAGTTGCTACACAAGTTCCTAAATACTCAGTTTTCTTTTATTATCTCAATCCCAGCAGCCCTGTAACTACACTTTGAGCAGTACTGCTGTAAACTCCTACCACACAGAGAGGCATTGCTGCACATTTCTTAATCTACGACTGTGCTTTACCCGGGAAAAGCAGGCATTTTTTTTTTTTTTTTGTATTTTTATTTACTCATATCTTTCTTTTATCCAGACACATTTTCCACAGTTTAGAGTCTGTGCAAACCATCCTGGCCTCCTGCCACTCACAGCAATCTTGATCCATCTTTGGGATTCTTCATTCCTAAAAAAACTAATGATCTGCCCCAAATTATATATTTATATAACTGTGAAACTTTGCATTTTCTAGTAATTTATTTCTCCCTTCGGTTCCAAAAATTTCAATTCCTTAAAAGAAAAATAAAACAAAAACAAAATAACCAGTGCTTAAAAGTACTTTGTGTCGCGCCTGTAGTCCCAGCTACTCCGGAGGCTGAGGCAGGAGAATGGCGCAAACCCGGGAGGCGGAGCTTGCAGTGAGCTGAGATCCGGCCACTGCACTCCAGCCCGGGCTACAGAGCAAGACTCCGTCTCAAAAAAAAAAAAAAAAAAAAGTACTTTGTGTCTAGACTTATAAGGGAGACTTTAAAAAGTATGATTGTGTTTGTGATAAATACTCTTAGAAAGATAAGGAGTACCCAGTCACTGAACGGTGGTATCTGCCTTTCATTTGTCCTTTCAGGCTGGGATAGGGATAGTGTGTGGGTGGGTGGGCAGTGTTCCCACACAGCTAGCCAGAGAAGGGACCAGGGAGCTGCTACAGTCCCAGTTCCACTGTCTTGGTCCTGAAACCTAAATGGAGGCCGGGCGTGGTGGCTCATGCCTGTAATCCCAGGCTTTGGGAGGCCAAGTCGGGTGGATCACCTGAGGTCAAGAGTTCAAGACAAGCCTGGCCAACATAGCAAAACCCTGTCTCTACGAAAATACAAAAATTAGCAAGGCATGATGGCGGGTGCCTGTAATCCCAGCTACTCAGGAGGCTGAGGCAAGAGAATTGCTTGAACCCAGGAGGTGGAGGTTGCAGTGAGCCGAGATCATACCGCTGCACTCTAGCCTGGGTGACAGAGCAAGACTCCATCTCAAAAAAAAAAAAACCTGAATGGAAGGAAGTCTGGTGTTTCCTCAAAACAAATGCTCAAAGCAGTCACTACTCACTGGCATTCTAGCTGGACCCACTCCTGGGCAAGTGCTACAAAGAAAAACACCTCTAAGGTGGTCGGAAGAAGAACGGGACACTGAGAAAAAGGGGGAATACAGTGCTGCTGGGAATGGTTAGGTAACTGATGGCTCCTGCCCTCCCTCAAATTCCTAACATAAAAAGATGTTGGTACTGGGAAGAGAAAATAAGAACACCATAACAGGCTGGCCGCAGTGGCTCATGCCTGTAATCTTGGCACTTTGGGAGGCCAAGGCGGGTGAATTACTTGAGCCCAGGAATTCCAGACTAGCCTGGACAAAATGGCAAAATCCCATCACTATAAAAAATATAAACAAATTTAGCCAGGCATGGTGGCCCCTTGCCTGTAGTCACAGCTACTTGGGGGGCTGAGGTGGAAGGATCACTTGAGCCCAGGAGATTGAAGCTGCAGTGAGCCGAGATCACACCACTGCACTCCAGCCTGGGTGACAAAGTGAGACCCTGTCTCAAAAGAAAAAAAGGAACAACAATAAGAACACCATAACAAATAAACATTATTTTTGGTGCATTGACAATTGTGTAGAAATCAACACTTCATTAATATGAGAACAGAAGGATATCAATGTGTTGGTTGCTGAACAGTTCAAGGCTTTACTAACATCCAACCAATGACTTGGCAGGTCTCTCAAACGAGGGGAAATAAAGAATTTTATGAATTCTCAAAGATCGAAAATAGAAAAGTGATGACCACACTGCCTTCAAAACTTGCCCAATACCTCTAATATCCATGGCAATCAGTTGCTCACGTAAGGAACCAGCATTTTGTGGAGTAGTAGTTAATAATGATGACAAGTGAAAAATAGAGAATAAACTTAAATTCTATAAAGATATGAAAAGTTATTAAGGCACAAGTCCAAAGGCTATAATAAATAAAAAAGGAAAAAAAAGTTGTCAAAAATTAAAATGTAAATAAAGATGTGATGGGAGATCTATCAGGGAAGTGCAGGAAGAACCGAGCAACTCACAAACCACCCTCTGGCTGGACGCGCACAGCCTGCCCAGTCCCGTTCGGCAAGTCACCTCAGTCCCATCCAGGTAAGGCTGGACAGGTGGTTCTCCAGGTGGCAGGAGGCGAGCGAGCGGCCCAGGTCATACACCGGGCCCCTGGTGCCCTCAGTCTGGACAGGAAGGGCGCGCGGGGTTCAGCTTAGCCCAGGGAGGGAACGAGAAGACTCAGCCGGTCTGGGCGCGCCGCTCTGGCCCCAGGGTGCTGCAGGTGGCCGCGTCCAGGGCGGTAGGTGGGCCCCGCCCGCTCGCCTCCCGAGGCCGGACCCCTGGACTCAGCAAAACCCAGTCAGACCCGCGCCCCACGGCCGCCTCCAAGTCACCTTCTGCGCGCTGGAGCCGCAGACACGCGCCGCCCGGTCATAGACGTGGCAGCGGATCACAGAACTGCCCACGTCCAGCCCCAGCACGAAGCCAGCGTGCCGCGGCTCCTGCGCTCTCTGCTCCGGGTCCGTCGGCAGCCCAGACATCCCGATCCCACACGCCTCTCTGCTACAGACGCCACCCCAGAGGGCGCGCTATAAATCCCGATGCCCCAGAATCCCAGGGCGCAGCGCCGGGCCGCCGCCCCCAACCCAGCCCCCAACCCAGCTCCGCGGGAGTTTAGAGAGGCCCGGCCCCTGGCGCGGGCTCCACCCCGGCGCCGTGACGTCACGCGCGCGCCGGCGGCCGCGAGGGAGGGGTGGAGGTGAGCTGGTTTGTGTCGTGCTCTGGAGCCCGAGATCGCCATCCATGCTCAGCCTCCAGTTGCCGGCCGCTGTTGGATTGACTTGGCCCTTAACTCTTTTATTATTTTTTTTTGAGACGGAGTCTCACTTTGTCGCCCCGGCTGGAGTGCAGTGGCGCGATCTCGGCTCACTGCAACCTCCGCCTCCCGGGTTCAAGCGATTCTCTTGCCTTAGCCTCCCAAGTAAATGGGATTACAGGCGCGCTCCTCCACGCCCGGCTAATTTTTGTATTTTTAGTAGAGAAGGGGTTTCACCATGTTGATCAGGCTGGTCTCGATCTCCTGATCTCGTGATCCGCTCGCCTCAGCTTCCCAAATTGCTGCTATTGCAGGCGTGAGCCACCGAACCCGGCGGCCCTTAACTCTTATTTTTTCTCTTGCGTCTCCAGCTTCCTGAGAGGCAGCGCCTGCGTTTCTCTTAACCCTAGCTACATTTGAGGAATCTCTATTAAAGAAAAATAGCTACCCCATATGCTAATCGTGAGGAGGAAAGTATAGGCTAGTTTATATTAAAATCTCAGAAAGTTTCGAGGTGCCATAAGGCACATCTATTCATTTCTCACCCATGATTATGACTAGAGTGCTGGAGAAATTTTTATCTCTGAGTAACTTTGGCAGACTAACCTGGGTCTCTGCATTCGTGCAGAATTTTTTAAGCTTAAAACATTTGTAGAGGTCACTACCATATATGGTTTCCATTTTTTGGCTAACATTTTGGGTGCGACTTTATTTCAATATTATTAAATGCACAGTCATTGACTATGCTAGAGTTGAATAAAGTGCTGTTTTTCAAAAATGAAATAAAACAAGTGCCATAAAAAATTCAAAATTTGGCCAAAAGTACTAATGTTTATTAACAGAGAGTTGCCCACGACTTCTCTTCCCAGAAAACGTGGTAAAGTTTGCACACAATGCAAAGCGGTAAATATTTGCTAAATGAAATGTGACGCAAGGAAGAAGACTTTTCCCAGCCCTCTAGTGGGAAAGAAAGGAGAAAGCTTAATTAAGGTGGCTGCTTTGACCATCACGCTCCACTACGGCGGTTGCTTTTTGGAATCTGAAAACCTCACAGAAGCCCTTTACCTTTTGCTGCTGCCCTAGGGGATGGGCTCATCCAGACACTTGACCAAAAGGAACAAGGCGTCCTGTGGAAATTTCGAGATTCTCGCGGCTCAGGTTCCTGGGCCTGGAGCTTTCCTGGGGAAGGTCCTGATCTGCAGGGAGTGGGGAGGTGGTTCCGCCTGCGCCACCCACCTCCCACTGCCACCAGCAATCTGTGAAGTCAGGGCCTGAAAATATTCCTTATCTTTTTGTAAAATTAGCAAACGTATGAATATATGTTTTGTGTGAAAACGTTTAACAGTGCCAACTGGTATATGAATTAAAAAGTAAAAGATAATCATTTTGGCTGGGCGCGGGGGCTCACGACTGTAATCCCAGCACTTTGGGAGGCCGAGGCAGTCGGATAACTTGAGGTCAGGAGTTTGAGAGCAACCTGGGCAACATGGTGAAACCCCATGTCTGCAAAAATACAAAAATTAGCTGGGCATGGTAGCCGGCTCCTGTAATCCCAGCTACTGGGGAGGCTGAGGCAGGAGAATCACTTGAACCCGGGAGGCGGAGGTTGCAGTGAGCCAAGATCATGCCACTGCACTCCAGGCTGGGCGACACAGCAAGACTCTGCCTCGAAATATATACCTACATGCATGCATACATATATATTCATTTTGAATCAAAACTTTTTTTAGACAGGGTCTTGCACTGTCACCCAGGCTAGAGTGCTGTGGCGCCACCTCAGCTCACTGCAGCCTCGACCTCCTGGGCTCAGGTGATCCAACTACCTCAGCCTCCCAAGTAGCTGGGACTACAACCACCACACCCGCCGGATTTTTGCATTTTTTGTAGAGTCTATTTCGCCATTTGGCCAGGCTGGTCTCCAACTCCTGGCCTCAAGTGATCCTCCCACCTTGGTCTCCCAAAGTGCCGGGATTACGGGTGTGAGCCATTGCGCCCAACCAAAGCATTCTTTTTTTTTTTTCTTTTCTTTTTTAAGATAGAGTCTTGCCCTTGTTTGCCCAGGCTGGAGTGCAGTGCTGCGATCTGGGCTCACTGCAACCTCCGCCTCCCGGGTTCGAGTGATTCTCTTGCCTCAGCCTCCCAAGTAGCTGGGACTACAGGCACTGGCCACCATGCCCAGCTAAGTTTTGTGTTTTTAGTAGAGTTGGTGTTTCACCATGTTGGCCAGGATGGTCTGGATCTCTTGACCTTGTGATCTGCCCGCCATGGCCTCCCAAAGTGTTGGGATTACAGGCGTGAGCCACTGCGCAGGGCCAAGTCATTCTTTTGGCCAAATTGTCCTGTTTATCAACTTACTTTCAGGCAATTTGACAAAATTGGCTCTTTGGCCATACAACGTTAAGCTTGGAACATACACCTGGACAAGTATGTTTTTTTTGTTTTTACCCTGTTCAACAGTACTGATTTGTTCCAAGTGGCCTCAGGACTGCCTTCACCAGTGCTGACCATTTTGATCGTGTGTGTGTGTGTGTGTGTGTGTATGTGTTTGTGTGTGTGTGTGTGAATTATTGTAATTTTAAATAAATGACTAATGGGTCCAATACTGGTCGGGGTTCTCCAGAGAAATAGAACCAATAGGATAGAGAGAAAGAGAAAGAGAGGTTTATTATTTTAAGGAGTTTCTTCATATGATTGTGAGGGCTGGCAAGTCCTGGATATTTCTGGGGCAGGCTAGCAGGCTGGAAACTCAAGAAGAGTTTCCATGTTGCAGTTTTGAGGAGACTTCCTTCTTTGGGAAACCTGTCTTTGTTCTTAAAGCTTAAAACCAACCTTGTGTGAGACTCACTCAGGTTTTGGAGGGTTATCTGCTTTACTCAAAGTCTACTAATTTAAATGTTAATTACTTCTAAGAAATACCTTCACAACAACACCTAGACTGGTGTTTGACCGAACAGCTGGGCATACAGTGTGTCTAACTAGCCTAGCTAAGTTCACACATAATAGTATCCATATCAGTTCCCAATTCACAACAGAGAAAACGGCTTTGTATTACCTGATGTTAATATTTAGTATATTTCTCAAAGTGATATTTCTTGGTTTCTTGAAACCTGACACTTTCTTAATGATCCTTTTTATAAATTCAAATAAATTATATTGAGTATTATCAAAATCATAGAATTTGAGAACAGGGGCCTTAGAAACCACTTAATCTAGTGTTTCTCAAATTGTTTTCAGATCTTGAACAACTTTGAGGCCCTAATGAACACTATCTCCCCAAGAAGATGCTTATACACACAAAATTTTGCATGTAACTTCAGGTGCTGGGTGTTGGGTAAAGCAAACATAAAGATCTCAGATAAAAATCAAGATCTTATTTCACAGTTGAGTAGGAGAGGCCTGGGGGAACAAAGAGATACCTGTTTCTCCCACTTTCTTTGTTCTCTGTCAGCACCTCCTACCCTGTTCTTCCCTAAGGGAAAGGAGTATATGGGCAACAGGGCACAGGGCTCAGAGGCTTCTAAGGCCCTTTGATAACTGGTCATTCTCTTTTTTTTTAATTTTTAAAAAGTTTTATGGGTACATAGTAGGTGTATATATTTTTGGGTTACGTGAGATATTTGGATACAGGTATGATAATCACATCGGGGTAAACAGGGTATCCTTTATGTCAAGCATTTATCCTTTGTGTTGCAAACAATCCAATTATACTCTTTTATTTTTAAATGTACAACTAAATTGACTGTCAAAAAATACTGGATGTTGGTGTGAATGTGGTGAAAGGGGAACACTTAGACTGCTGTTGAGAATGTAAATTAGTACAGCCTCTATGAAAAACAGTGTGGAGATTCCTTAAAAGAACTAAAAGTAGATCTACCATTTGATCCAGCAATCCCACTACTGGGTATCTACCCAAAAGAAAATAAGTCATTATATGAAAAATACGCCTACACAAATATATTTATTGCAGCACAATTCACAATTGCAAAGATATGGAATCAACCTAAGCGCCCATCAACTAATGGGTGAATAAAGAAAATGTGGTATGTGTATATATATATATACACTATGGAATACTACTCAGCCATAAAAAGGAATGAAATAATGTCTTACAGCAACTTGGATGGAGCTGGAGGCCATTATTCTGAGTGAATTAACCCAGGAATGGAAAACGAAAGAAGTAGGAGCTAAGTACACAAAGGTACACAAAGTCATATAACAGACTTTGGAGACCCAGAAAGAGGAGGGTGGGACGGGGGTGTGTGATAAGAAGCTACCTATTGGGTACAATGTACACTACTCAGGTGACTGGTGCACTAAAATGTCAGAATTCACCACTATATAATTCATCCGTGTAACCCAAAACCACTTGTACCCCAAAAGCTACTGAAATAAAAAAAAAATTAATGTGATTTTTAACTATAGACACCCTGTCGTGCTATCAAATACTAGATCTTATTATTCTATTTTTTTTTTTTTTGCACCTATTAGCTATCCCCACTTCCCCTGGCCCTACTCCTCACCCCTGTCCACTACCCTTACCAGCCGCTGGTAACCATCCTTCTACTCTCTATCTCCATGAGTTCAATTATTTTAATTTGTAGCTCCCACAAATAACTGAGAATATGTGAAGTTTGTCTTTCTGTGCCTGGCTTATTTCACCTAACATAATGACCTCCATTTCCATCCATGTTGTAAATGACAGTGTCAGGCCTCTGAACCCAAGCCAAGCCATCGCATCCCCTGTGACTTGCACGTATAGGCCCACATGGCCTGAAGTAACTGAAGAATCACAGAAGTGAAAATACCCCGCCCCGCCTTAACTGATGACATTCCACCACAAAAGAAGTGAAAATGGCCAGTCCTTGCCTTAAGTGGTGACATTACCTTGTGAA